TGTTGCTTTATTTTTCTTTTGTATCTCGCACCTGGACACATGACATCTCTTTAATGACTAAATTGCTTGTCAAGTCATCATTACCCATTAGAGGTACAAATTCAGGGGTCAAGTTTTCATCAGTGATGCTTTCTACTTGTCCACGCATTTTCCGTTCACATTCTGCATGTACACCATATTTTTTCAACCAGATTTTTCTGGGGGAAAAAATCTTTCATTATTATATTATTTGTTTGTTGTAAGATTGCTAATAAAGGATTATGAATTTTTTTTACAAATACTTGCCCACACTACTACAATACTGTAATACTCTCTGTTTCGTTTCCAGGTGGGGCCAAGATTAGTTTTAAGAGAAGGCAGATCGATCTCGAAATGGCATTTGTATGGGTACAGAAAGGATTTTACGCAGTTGATCTGGTGTACTTCTAACCTCATTCTCCTGTTGGCTTATACTTTCGTTTCCACTCTACAGCTCCCTCACTTTCAACATAAACTTTTTTCTCTTGTTTAATGTCTTTTGACAGACATTAGCTAATGATATTCGAACTGCTGGAGGGCCAACGATTTAATGATCTAACAAAAAAAAAAAAACTAACATGTTGAATTTTAATATAAAAGAAGGGATAAAATAGTAAAAATTGGCAAAGGCTGACTCATATTATTATTTAGTCTAGGTTTGACTGAATAATATTGATTTATTAAAAAAAGAAAAAAATTATAACAAAATGAAAAACAATTTATACTAAAAAAACAAATACATTGCTGCTGATGCAGTTTTTTGGTTGTGTTGTTTTGATGTGTATCCAAACAATGAATTTCCATGATATTTTTTGGTGTGATAATAATGGGATCTTGGATTGAATAAAGACAAAATGTGAGCAGGTGCAGATCCAGTAGGGGGCATGTGCCACTAACTTTTTAAAAATGCATATCAATGTTATGTGCCACTCTATTCAGAAACTGTTGTGCCCCACCCCCTTGAAAAATTCTGGATCTGCCCAAGGTGTGATCTGCAGTTTATAAGTTGACTATAGGCAGGATTTATTGATTGTAAAGTACTGCGATGCTCACCTTTCCATTACCATAAAATGTTGCTCTACCATCAACAGACTGAATTAATTTCATTTTCATAATATGGTTGCCAATTTTCTCCATTTCCTGTGTGAGGGGCTCATCGAATGGTTTTTGTAGTATTGGTCTTTGTAGTATTTCATTAACATTCAAATTTGGTTGATTACATTGATTAAAGTCATGATCAGGTACACAAACGTGAACATCACATTCTCTACATTGCATTACACAGCAACATGTTTTACAGTTTTACTGGACAGATAACATTCAACGAACAATACAGGGACAGCAACAACAGATGAAAAATGAACATTGTTGTGACAAACAGGACACTCAGTTGTATCAACAACATTAACAAACAGAGGCAGGACATTTCAGAAAAGTTTCCTTCCATAGACAGCAATGACAAGAAAAACAAGGCCTAGCACCAAACAGCAAAGTCAAACAATATAGCAATAACATGGGCCTGAAAGAAGTTAATTAATTAATCACTCTATCAATTTAACCAATCAATCAAATTAAATTAAAGACGATGCACGATGTTTCAACAATCAATATCTACTGTGCAGGTGAAAACAACAACTGATTCCACTTCAAGTTCAATTTTGAATGGCATATCATTTTATAACAAATACATTTGATAAGGCTGTTGCAACTCTTATCAATTCTGGTCTTAAAACTGTACACATGATTTCCTGAGATATTCATAGAATAAAGGTATATTATTAGAAACAAACATTTCACTAGCACTACATCATCTTGGACGTCTTAATATCATCTTAAAGGCATTATTATAGCAAACTTGTAAAGACTTTATGGTTTTAACATTGTAATCACACCATAACGCCGCACAATACGTACTAAGACAGTATAACTTAAATAAAAAAAAGTTTATATCCACAGAGCATTTGCTAAATTTCCTAGTTAAGGAGTTGTTCTGATACACAATGAACGATATTGCCTTTTTATATCTAGCTCATCTCTACCATAGCTAACTAAGTTCATCGCCACACAGGACAGTCCTATAAGTTCCGTTAAACTTTCTATTCCTGGGACTAAATCACATGCACATAGATTTTTCGAGTTATATAAAGTATCAAATTCATTAGCATATTCTTCACAAAGATTAACGAGCTTTTGAAGGGCATCTAGCGAATGTGCAAGTAGCACAATATCATCAGCGTAACTTAAATTATTAAGTTTGATTTTGTTAAGCTCACATCCATAATTACAATTACTTAATATGGTATTCAGACTATCAATATATACATTGTATAACAGAGGAGACATAACTCCACCTTGTCGGACACCATTCGTTATTTTGACTGGGAATTACACCATCTAACAAAGAATCTTTGTTTCTCATACCACAATTTTAGAACTCTAACAGCAATAAGGTTAAGTGCCCCTTTCAAATTATTGCTTATACAAGGACCAATGATTCACTCTATCGAACTCTTTAAGCGTCAAGAAAACAAGCAAATTCGGGACTCCCGTTTCTATTATAGTACTCCATAGACTGTCTAAAAACAAAGATGCACGTTTCAGTGCAGTGTTGACTTTTGAAGGCGAACTGATGATCTCCAGACTTAAGAGTATCCCCACAGTAATTAATCAACAAGTTCTCAAAAACTTTAGACAGTACGGATGCTAGTGCTATCGGTCTGTAATTATCCATACTAGTAATGTCACCAGACTTAACTTTTAACTACAGTTATTAAAACAACTCGCACCATTTCTTCAGGAACGTAACCATGAATACACGTGGCATTAAAACATAAGCTAAGTTTATTTATTTATTGACACTTCACTTTTAGAACGGTGGCACACACAGCTCGTGTGATGCGGTCGGACAACAATAACAACTAAAATACAAAAGTACAAAAACAAATCAAAGAAAAGCACATAAAATTAACCCGGAATGTAAATGAAGCCAATAGCTTAACTCAAAAAGTTTTAACTACTATATAGGCTTAAATTTTGAAAATGTAAACTAAAGGTACAGAATCAAAACGTAAAAATGAAATAAAAATTAAACAGGAATTACAAAAATCAAGTAAAAATTAGAAAAAAGCACCAAAATCATAAACATATGTATACATATATACATATATATACACATGCATATACATATATATAAGTAAAACATAAAACATCAACACGTTTACCAGAGTGTTTTAGATGCTCAGCACGACAGTTATACTTTACCACCAATACTGTCTTTCTGTTTAGTAAGTTATGTAATAGGCCTATTTTGGTGTTATTGTATTGTGTGTTATATTTTGGATATTTATGTTATTTTACAATAAAATCTATCTTAGATTCGAATCTTAATTGAATACCATTATCACAGTCTATTATCTGTCTATCTAGGCCCTTGGCAAATAAACTACTCAAAATTAACTGGAGTTCAGGCAAATCATGCAGAACAAATACTGTACTATTGTTTCCTCACCAATTTAAATGTAAAAATATAGATTATCATCTAATAACAAGATACTCTATCCTACCTATCTCGAAAAACTTTAATTAAATTAAAATTTATGTTTTAATTAGTAATAACAATCCCTCGCTAAAATCCTTGTACTCTCGAGGGTAGCCGGAAGCGTGATTCCCAATATATACTGCAGTCTTAAAAGTATGATAATTTAATTTGTGTTAATAAATACAAAACTAATAATTCTTAGAGGGTATTAAAATATAAATCATATCTTGCATAATGGTGGATCCGAATAAATATCGCTAATTGGGACATTTTTATACCGTTTGCACAACCGACTTTTCACTTCCGCATTGAAAAGTTTGGTTGTCATTGCGATGATTAACACTTTTAATTTACGTGCCGGTCGTTCTCAACGCCCTCTATAGTTTCAGTCGTGACAGGATATGATCCTATTTTAGCAATATCGGGAACATATGTGACATGTAGCCCACAGTGTGAACACACTGTGGCCACAGTGTGTTTTTACACAGAAACCACATTGTGAAATTCGCATTAAGTCCACAGTGTGAACACACTGTGACCAAAGTGTTTTTTACAGGACAGTGATATTTACTAGTAGTAGTCCACAGGGTGAACACACTGTGGCACACACTGTGGCAGTGTGTAATTTTTACACAGGAAACAGTGTGAAATTCACATAGTGGTCGACGGTGTGTACACACTGACCAAAGTGTGTTTTTACCTAGAAACCAGTGGGAAATTCACATGGTAGTCCACGTTTTATTTAGACGAATTCTGTTCCTTGAGTTCTTCACTTCCTGAGCTCTTGTCTGATTAGTTGTGCACGTTTTCGCTTTACAAAGAGTAGAAACAGCGTGAACACCTTCAATAGAACATGTGAATGCGCATGCAAAACAGGCTTTACTGAAACCTCTCTGCTAGAATTCACCGGCCATTCACCATTTTGTTTAATATTTGTACATGTAAGAAAATAATGTAATGGTATAGAATTTCTGTAGAAACAATTTTATAGAATTTCTACAGCATTTTTATAGGCTAATTCTAAATGATTTTCTATCTATGAAAATTCCAGGCGTTGAACAAAATGTGCTGCATATTAGTCCACCGGAAATACGGATTTGACTGGACAAAATTGCAACAAAACGTTTTATGGTCTAAATATAAACTTAATTATATGTAAAATAACATACTAAAAGTTTACCAAAATAGGACGTACATAAAGGTGTTTTTTATAACCAAAAGTTCAGCACTATTTGAAAGTAGACTTTTACACGGTACGTACTGCGGTTTTCCAACTTTTCTTGATTATGATTGGTCAACATTTAGGTCATCGTCCTGTTGGACACACAGCCATGAACACTAATGATTCAGTAGCTATTTTGGAGAGTACTTGGGAATTTCCATAATTCACAAAGCCACTGTATTGTTGGTTTTTGCGTCCAAAAATGACAGTTTCCTGATGTGATTAGATTGATAATAAGTGTTACGTCATTGCAGACTTCCCATTTTGTCACTCATTCTAAGCTGCACAATTACTTCAGAAAGAAAACCATTGACATTCAACTGAGCACCACCAATTTATAATATATTAAGAGTCTGCAAAGTGCAGGATTTTGGCACTGATACAGTATAATCACTTTTGGGGAGTGATACTGTAATGTTACTGCCACTTGTTTTGCAATGTCAGAATAGCGTTTTCCTATCACTGAAAGTGTAGAGAGCTAACAAAGTGACATTTGATCGGCTCTGAATTTTCTTCACTTTGAAGTACATTTTATCAGAAATATTTCTTCCTTGTGTCGATAGAAATCTGTTGAATTATAACATTAAAAGAAAAGTTATTTTTGCACTGTTCAAAATGAAGAATAAAAAAATAGCTATAGGCCTAGATGGATAAATTATTCATTTATTTAAAATAATTTCATTTTTTTTTCCAAAAAAGTGTAATTCCCCTTGGGTTTTTTCTATGTAAATAAAGGCCAAGAGCATATGCCTAAATACTGTGAAACCTTCAATATTATGAAAATAAATCTTTAACCATAATACAAAAAATGGTGACATAGACTAGGCCCAGCCTAATATTCTGGTCTATTAGGCCTAAACAAAGAACATTGTCATAAGCCTTGTTAGTTGAATAAATATTAATAACACCGACTAAAAATTAGAAAAAATACTATAAAACATACCTACAATACGAAATTAAATACCAGTTTGTTCTTCATATAGGCACCTTGAAAACAGCATACCATCACTACATTCTCTTTTCTGTATTGTCTAAACCGGTCCAAAATAAATGAAGAAATACGACGTTAGTCACACTGAGAGTGTACTTTCAAAATTTTATATAAGATTGAGGGTGGAATTGGAGATAATTCCTAAGTGAATTCTAAATGGCTGAATCTAGGCTCCCTATGGCAGCCATCTTGGATAGTACACCCACGCAGCTCTGCGTTTTAGGAACGTCGATTGCATTACAGTTTTCACCCCAGGTATTCTTATAATTCGCTTGAATAGGCCTACTTATTTTTATTTAGTTTTTTAGGGTGGGCTTGGTTTAGCATTTCAAGTTCTATACGAATATCTGAACCAAAGTCAGATATTCACCTTTGAATTATCACGCTTGTATGCCTCATAATTGGTCGTTTTAAATCTTTACCTAAGTGGTTGCTTGTAAAAGGCAACTACCTCTTTGTTGGCACCATATCTTCAATCAACTCGTCCATTTCGGACTCCGAAACCTAATTTGTTCTTTGTCCTTCCAACTAGGTGGGAAGAGCTTGAATAATCTTTACCCCCTCGGATTTATTGTGAGTCCACAAGTCTCTTGCGCCAAAGAAACCTCCATTACCTCCATAGCGATAGCTTATCATTTCCTACTACAGAAGGACTGCTCATGTTCATAACGTCATGAGGCCTGTGAGTCATTCGTTTTGTTACATGTTACAATTATTTTTTTTGCGCATTTGGCTATCTACATTTTAACTGTAGACCTGTACATTTAAATAAAAGCTGTTTTAGGATGCAGCGGACGTACATGCACAGTACGAGGGGATTTAGGGGTGGGTGAGGTCGTTCTCTACGTAATTAACAGTGTCTAGGCCTACATACTGTAGTTAATGATGGAAATATGTCTGATTCATCTATAACTTGGCCTATATAGGCCTATATGTAAATGTTGTAAATGATGAAAAGAAGTAAGCCTAGCCTAGAGAGGTCTATCCGTCGTCCACACACCAACGGTACGTATAAGTAGGCAGTGTGAATCAGGATATAGTATAACCAATGGCTAGGATAGCCTGACTGTCCATCATGCCCCCTCCCCCCGTAATGGAACTAACCAAAAAAAAAAAAGAAGCCAAGTTGCTACCACCATTAATTAAATAATTAACAAACATCCATATTAAATGAATTGGGATTAGGCCCCCTAGTGTAGGCCTAGACCTAAGTGAAGACGGAGAAAAATGCGTATTGCCATGACTTTTAATTATAATTTTCGGAAATATGCCTAACGTTTAGGTCCTCCCTATTTGAAATTTATCCAGTTCAACTTTGGCCTTTGATGAAACGTAAGGATACCTTTTTCTCGTACTTTCTGAGTAAACAAATAGGCAGATCTTTCTGACTGAAGTCCTTGTTATTGGGCCCGAACGGACGTAAAAACTTTTGAAAACAATTATTAATTTGTGGGAATCATCCCCTGACCTACCAAAACGGAGCCAAGTCGATCTCACGGAAACGGTAGTCAAATCTCGATCAATCAAATAAAAAAAAAAAAAACCTACCTAGGCCTATGCCTATGAAGTAATTTATGACTAGGACTAGCCTAGCCCTATCTATAAATAGTATAATAATAAGCCTACTAAAAAAAATATCGCTGAGGATTTAAATATTTTATAGGCCCCCTATGTATATACTTTTAAAATTAGGCCTAGCCTACGGCCTCAGACAGAATAAAGTCTGACAAAAACTTCTTTAATTTAATACAGTAACATAGAATAGGGCCAGATAAGAAACGCAAACACAATGTGGCCTACAGTAGGCAGGCCTATCTATGGGCGTCTACTGCTGCACACCTGAGGCTGCAGATCTATAGAGATGTGCTAGGTCTCTATAGATTCTTATACTACTCGAGATACTATATATGACAAAGTGGACATACTCACCAGTCACTAGCAGGTGAATTCACACGCTAAATAGTGGTAGTAAGTTGATCATATTAGATCTAAAGTTCTTCCAGGCTTATTTTTTCTTAAGAAATCCAGTGATTTAATTCCCACTCATTTACAATCCCTTCTATATAAAGCTATTGTTGCACCCCATTTTGACTATTGCAATATAGTTTGGGGGAGGTGCAACAAAATATTAAGAAATAAATTACAAATATTACAAAACAGGGCAGCTAAAATTATTACCAAAAAACGAAAATATGACTCAAGTACTCAAGCACTTGTGGAACTTAAATGGCCTAATCTTGATCAAATGCTCAACATTAATGAAAATATCACAATGTACAAAATAATGAATGACTTAGCTCCTAATTATTTAAAAAATAGATTTATTCAAAGAGAAAGTAAATACAACACTAGGTCAAATGACAACCTTAACG